CTGGCCTAAATGCCCATCTACGGAAGAATGGTTAAATAAACTGGTCCATATACACAACGTTATATTACACAATGTTGAAGAACGAGGAAGAATCTGTAACACATCTCACAACATGGATGAACCTGGAGGACATTATATTGAGTGAAATCAGTCAATCACAAAAGGACAAATATTGTATTTTACACCGTTGTAAAAAGTTAAGGAAAGATTTTCTTGTTAAATGAAACATACTGCAGGCTGTGAATTTCAGGGTCAGCAGTTGGAAATTACCAGCTGTTCCGCAGGAGAAAGATGAGGCTTTCTGCTCCAGTAAAGATTTACAGCCTGGGAAATCCTGTACAGGGTCTCTATGAGTTAGAACTGACTCCACAGCACATAACAACAACAACATGATGGTTTACAGGGCAGGTGGAGGGTAGGGAGAAAAATTAAGTGACTATAGGTAATTATTGTTAACTGATGGTACGTGGAGAGGACCGCAGTCACTGTAATGACAATAATGTAGGATTTGGTGAATGTGGGGCTGAGGATCTGTTCTGTAAACCTTCACTCAATTCACAATGAAAAGTGAAAACAAAAATCTTCCTACATTGAATGACACCATTATTTAACATTACTAGTAACAAAGAGAAAGTCTTTCCTCTTTTTCTCTCCTTTTCTTTGAATTGCTACTTCATTCTCAAAACCAAGTTATTGATACACATTCCCAAAATAGATCAGTCCTATGAAATCAAACTGCTTTTTATGTAGGCATAGTCATGATTGAGTTTCTCTTTCTCTGGACTAGTGGTCCTTCATAGGAAAAAAATCCCCTCCAATTACTGCTGCCAGGTATTCAGTGTCGGACCCACACTAAGTATGGTGAGCAGAGGCTGACTTCTGCCGTCTTACTTGTCTATAGCGAACAATTTCACGTTTTCACAGCAAAGATTCTATTCTAGGTATGTCTCTTCCAACCCCACAGTAACTTCCTACAGAATCAAAGCCTCTTTTCAAATTAACAATCTCCAACAGTCAGCAAGGTAAGCACAGGTTTAGTTGTGCTTACGTACTCATCTGTAGTGAACAATTTCAGATGTGTTTCATCACATCCTTTGATGTGGTTAAAAGCATAAGAAACTGTTCACTACAGATCAGTAAGCACGATTAAGCCTGTGCTTATCTAGCTTAATGAGTAATCCGCTTCTGGGTGTATACATTCTGCACCACACCAGGCATGCACAGGATAAGTGCCAGGCATTCAGCATAAGAACACAGTTTGAGCATTGAGGAAATATTACTCACTAGAATAAAGAAATATTTACACAAACACCCCCATCCCTAGCAATCATAGGTGCATTTAATTATAGAGAATTGAAATGAAACTTGGTTACATCATTTTGTTTTACAGCTGACTTCCTGTAAAACTTCTATGTGTCACCACCAATAAGCTGTGGCAATTTCAGGTGGGATAGTGTTCAGAAGGAGCTCTGGTAGCATAGTGGTTACGAATCGGGCTGCGAGCCGCAAGGTCAGCAGTTCGAAACTACCAGCGGTTCCGCGGGAGAAAGATGAGGCAATCTGCTCCCATAAAGATTTACAGCCTCGGAAACCCTGTACAGGGTCACTATGAGTCGGAACCGACTCCACGGCACATAACAACAAGTGTTCAGAGGGTCGCTGGACCACTCCTGCCTCCAGGTGGGATTCCAGAGAGGACAGTCTTTAGGGTCAGCCCACCCTTATTAGGTAGATGGTTAGCTGTCCATAGGAGCCCTCATGGCAGAGCGTTGAAGTGCTCAGCTGCTAACCGAAAAGTTGGCGGTTCAAATCCACTCAGTGGCTCCATGGGAGGAAGATCTAGTCATCTGCTTCCATAAAGATGACAGCCTATGAAAACCCTATGAACAGTTTTCCTCTGTCACATAGGGTCACTAGAGTTGAAAATCGACTCAATGTCACTGACCAACAGCCAGCTGTCTGCTCTGAGTGGTTTCAGATGTGTAACATGTACGATTCCCCCCACCAACACCACCACTGAAGTGCTGGAAATGGTACTAGATGGGAGATGTGGTCATCAGAATTCCTCTTGGGAGAGTGCTGTGTGAGTCTGAGAGGAAACTCGGCCAGGCCTCTTGAAATTGGGAGAGAGGCAGGAAGTGGAGAAGTGGACCAGGTGACTCAGATGAAATAGCAAGATTATTTATTAAACAAACCTGAGTACACACGCGCTCAGAGCTGAAGCTAGAAGCTTAGGTCAGAGAGGAAGAGTGAGTCTCACCCTCAGACCTTTCTACTCAATCAACTTGGAACAAACTGATTAAGACCTGCCTTCATGCACCAGGATCAAGCACGTCCCCAGGGTCGTCCATGTTTGGCTGCACTGCGGTGAGCTGTTGAGAGGACTGTCCCATCACTGGAGTTTCCACTTCCCACGACTGAGGAACGGGTCCTTTATCCATGGTCACCAGCATCTAACACTAGATGTGGCAAGCAGTGTGGGCTCTCAACTAAAACCTAGATACATACGAGGGGACTTCATAAAAAGTTTATGGACAACAGAGGACTAGAATGGGGAGTGAAGTGTTCAGCTGATAAGAAGAGAGGGCACATACGTAAGAACACCCACACTGGCAGATAATACCCACTTGACCTGGATGATCAGAGCTCAACTAGAAGAAGAAAGAAGAGGAAAAAAAGAGTAATCTGATACAATTTGATGAACTTGACCTACACCTATGGATGCAGTAGTT